TCTATCTGCAGGCTCTGCGCGCAATCTGCCGTCAGTCTGTCGTCAGAGTCTGTCGACAGGCTCTGCGCGCAGTCTGCCACCAATCTGCCGTTAGAGACTGATAAAACAGATTCTGTGTGCAGTCTGTAGTCATTCTGCCAACAGACACTGTTGACAGACTCTGCGCAAAATCTGCTCACGCAGGTTTGGCTATCTGGGTATAAGGGTAATACTCAAATTAAAATTATTTCCTTCTCTTGTATCTAACTCAGTATTCCTATACAAAATATTCCTCAGTTACAATGACCAGAAAACGTAAACCTGAAAATTCTTCCGGAATTACGAGTAACGCAATGCGTCAATAGCTGAGCGAGATGTTTCTTTAATCGTCGCTAACGGGTGGGACCCGATTGACCACGATACGATTGGGCACAGATTGTAATGATTGGTTCGACCTAGTAATTCACTAGATAATTCTTTTCATCGGTTGGTTGTGTCTAATCGTACCGTGGTCAATCGGGACGCTCCCGCCGCTAACTCGCCTCTTTGTCTACCTCTGCGATTGTTTCTCGTCTGGGATGCGTTCGAAAACACTGAAAGTCCACGACGGAAAGTGGCTGTGGTGGATGGGCTTGGTGGGGTTAGTGGAGTTGGTATCGAGAGGAGTTTTCGAACAGCCATGGAAGAATGTTCAATGTGACATACTACATGTGTGTTGTGCCTACATATGTGTTGTACAAAATGGCTGATCGAAAGTATTTTAAAAATCATCTAACCTAGTCAAGTACTAAGGTCTGGTATTCACAATGCTAGAAATCGGTCCGAGTACTAGAACCGAGAAATGTGTAGCTGATAAAATTGTCGCTTTTCTATAAAAGTTTGTGCAAGCAAGATGTTATTTGGAAAGTTAATTGGCTATATATTCCTCCGTCCGAGAATTCGGATCGATTTCTAGCATCGTGGGCACCAGGCCTAAGGAAATTTATACTTATTTATTACTCCTTACCTTTAACATCGTATATATAAACATTTCCCTTGTCATCCTTTTGTATATTTTTTTTAATATCCATGCATAAAATATGACAACCCGGGATTAAATTTTCCATTTTTTTTCACAAATTGTTACTGATTCGTGACTTTTAACGTGCCTCGTATCTCGTAAGAAAATTTCAGAACCTATAAAATACAAAAAGCTTAATAAGCTTTATTTATATTTAAAGACAATATTCTGACAATATACGTCACTATAGAAATAAACCTAAACCTGGCTAACCTATACTGCTGTATTTAAATTTTTTATCTTACCGTGATGGCTAATGGTTGTACGAATGTTTCGAAGAACAAAAAACCATAAATAATTTAGTAATTTCATACTGTATTGCACTCTTTGCGCACTCTCCACCATCTCCACCGATTCACACCGCGCAAAAGAGAGTGGAGAAAAGTCACACGAGTGGTCCACGGATTACGGTTTTCGAACGGCCATGGTCGCATGGTCAGTGTGCCCACTAGGGGTTTTCGAACGATCTGAGTGTGACAAAATACACACGGGTGATGTTTTCGAACGCACCCCTGTGGTGAGACAAGAACAGATAGTGTTGATTATTTGTCTTTGTCTAACTAACATCAAGAATCATGAACATTACTTCTTTACTCACTTTTGAGACTATTCGTGCACATTGGCCACGTAGTTTATGTGCACGGTTGGTTAGAGGCGCTGTAAGCCATTTCAGCTGAAATCGGAATCAGCTAAAACCGGCCCATGGCCGGTATTCATAGTCGGATCTTATATTTAAGACAGTCTTAAGTTTATCTTCAGATAATGTACAGATTATTTCATTGATTATGGAGTATCTGAAGATGAACTTAAGACAGTCTTAAATATAAGACCCGACTATGAATACTGGCCCATGACTCCTCTCCTTTTTCTCTCTGCCTGTATCTCATCACAGCAGTAGCATAATAGCCTAGTTTACATCGTGCACTTGATACGCGTACTAACATAATAACTTTCTATTAGATAATCTTAATATCGACAATACATATCAACAGCGATGCATTCTATCAATACAATACGTTTTGTTGATGAGTATTATACCAGCTTAATATACCGTTGTTTATATCTTTCGTTGATATTAATGGTTCCTGCACATAGGACGCGGTCATGCTTGCCGCGCAGCGGAAGTCCGCACGATAGCCAATCAATATGTTATTTTTCCGTGAGAGCTAGAATATTATTACGAAAAGCAACATATTGATTAGCTGTCGCGCGAACTTCCGCCGCGCCGCAAACATTACCGCGTCCTGTGTACAGGAGCCATAAGATTATCTAATAGAAAGTTACTATTTAGTACGTGTATCAAGTGCACAATGACTGCGTTCAGAAAACATAGCTGATCAGTGAGCGGTCAGTGGTTATTGGTCCTTACTGTTAGATCCCTAACTTTAGACCAATTACGTTGATTAATTACTCAACCGTTGTGTAACCGCTGTGTCTCCTGAACGCACCCAATGTAAACCAAGCCAATAGGTGTTTACGTTAAATCGATTACGAGTTAGTTCCACTAAGGTGTAATAGGCACAAAAACGAAAAATGTAATAGGCACAACCATCTAGTATCTTCATGGTTCAAGACAACTCAGTGGATACTTACGATATCGAGTGCAGAGCGAGTGAGAGGAAGTAATATCCAGGGAATAATAACTCCCGTCTGGTAAGTGGCACTACCTACACCTACCGCCCTCTGAGATTGTCTCCGGAAGTAGCCGAACTAAACGGGTGACGTCACGCGAAGTGGGGATGCGCGCCAATGGAAGTATGAATGGCACGCACAGATAGACGTTATAGAGAGCGGGTGTATATCAGTTGGACACGGGGCAATTGGACACAGTCCAATCACAAGTCGCTGTTCCAAGGGACTCTACAAATGTCTGTAATCACACGGTGCTGTGATTGGCTGTGTCCAAATGCACCGTGTCCAAGTGCACCGCTTCCATAGAGAGCAATAGCAAGCAACTTATGCACGTATGGCATGTATACAGTTGTGTGATGAGTGTATATGTGGATGTGGATATGTGGATATGTGTATATGTGTTGTGTGGATGTGTGTATGTGTTGTATGCTATTGTATAGATATTGTAGGTTAGTTGCTACTTCTACGATTTAGCTAATTGTTTTAGTACTATTACTACACTATTACTACTCTACAATGATTAGTAATAAGATAATATATATATTTATTGCTTTATATTAGTGCTCGCTGTTGCTCGCATTTGCTCGCTATTGCTCGCTAAAA